ATGATAAGCTAGTAAACGGTAACATGATAAACTAGTAAATGGTAACATGATAAACTAGTAAATGGTAACGATAACATGATACATGAACATATTAACATACCCTATTTTTTTCAATCTGGTTCTGCAGCTCTAAAATATCGTCTTGTATTTGTCCCAATTCAGCAAGTTGTTCCCGTATGTCATCTATCCAATTGAGTAGTTTAGAGATACTGTCTCCGGCAAACTTGTACTTCTCTTCAACGGCAGTCTTTGTGTCAGAAATAAGAATCAGTTAGAAATTAAAGTATGAGAAGCTATCTCATCACAGATGAGCAAAAAAACAATTGGCCAAATAAAGATTAAAATATTACCGAGTTAAAAACAACAACAAAGGAGTTAACAACTGCTACAACAATATAACTCTTTCATTAAAAAAATTTGAACTCTTATATGTCTTGTGTCAAAATAAATCCTTTTATAGTTTTACAGTAAAATAATACAATACATATTTTAAAGTATAATTAATCCCAGAACTATTAAAAACATGCTTGTCTAAGTCTAATAAGCCAGATCCGACAAGCTGTGAGAATTCAGGTTTGGTAGTAATGAATAACATTAGATTATAATAGCCAAGGTTTTTTTTAACACTGTTGTTTCATCGTGTTGATAACTGTTAGTTTAAAAACAATCAGTAATATAAAGGTTCAATATTCAACAAGAAAAGTAAATGATTTTCAATAAAAATACAAGTCTTTGTACATTAAGTTAATGACAAAGTTTTAAAGCACAAACAAAGTCTGCAGTAAACTCTTGTATACAACATACATTTGGTGCTCATAGCAACTAACCAGCAATAGCGATATTTACAATCAACCAACATTACAGGCTTTACAAACATTACAAACAAACAATTGTAACATTTACAGTCTACCAACAATCAATAGTGATATTTACAGTCTACAAACAAACAATTGTAATATTTACAGTCTACAAACAAACAATAGTAATATTTACAGTCTACAAACAAACAATAGTAGTATTTACAGTCTACCAACAATACTGGCAATTACGGCCTGCAAACAAACAATTGTAACATTTACAGTCTACCAACAATCAATAGTGGTATTTACAGTCTACAAACAAACAATTGTAATATTTACAGTCTACAAACAAACAATAGTAATATTTACAGTCTACCAACAATACTAGCAATTACAGCCTACAAACAATCAATAGTGGTATTTACAATCTACAAACAAACAATAGTAACATTTACAGTCTACAAACAAACAATAGTAGTATTTACAGTCTACCAACAATCAATAGTGGTAACAATTGTTTGTTTGTAGACTGTAAACTATTGTTTGTTTGTAGACTGTAAATTAGACTGTAAATACCATGAACAAGCAGCACTTTCAAAGTTCTAGAACAATATTTTTATCAGAACAAAAGGCTTACCCTAGTTTCTGCTGTGATGAACAGACCAGTCATCCAAGCTTGCACAAGAGTGATGTATTGTTGATTCTGTGGATTAAAGACAACACCTTCCCTGGGGTTGAGCAAACATTCATCAGCAGCTTGTTGGATGGTCAAAATTCGTCCCGTACCAGGATCTCTGAACACAGTATCAGTGGGGTCAATGAGTCCAGAGTCTATAGCCTGAAGCAAGGTAATGAGATGTTCTGTAAATGGATCTCTGAAGGATCCACTATCTGGATCATAAGCTCCATACTCCAAAGCTTCCAATAAGGAAAGGGGTCTTCTTGGTGTGATGATCAGATTAGCTTCAAGAGCTCCTTCAATTGTCAGGATCTGATTGGTACCAGTATTTAAAACTGTACTTTTGTCAGGATCAAGAATTTCTTGTTCAAAAGCTGATAATATTTTTACAAGTTTTTTTCTTTTGGTGTCCTTGATAACTACTGAATTTGGATCCAAAACCCCCTGTTTTAAGGCACCATATAGTGGGATACTTTTCTCAGAATCTGGATGTTTGAACTGACCATTGGTCAAATGCAAAAGGTCGGAATCAATTGCTTGATCAAATGTTTTTGGTTCCCGAAAGAAAATGACAGTTTCCTGATCAAAAGTAATAGTCAGTGTTGTGGCTTTTTCAGTCATAGGGTCAAACATGACCTTCTTCTTTACATCAAGCAACCCATCTTTAATGGCCTGTTTCAGGGTCTTGAATCGTCCACTTACTGGATCCTTGATCACAGCAGATTCAGGGTCAATCAGTTCATTTTTAATTACCTCCTCCAGCATGAGTCCTGCAGTACTACTGGCATCCTTAAAGGTGCCTTTGGTAAAGTCTATTGATTCTTGCTGTACGGCTTGATGGAATGTGGTTGGTCGTTCTGTTGAAATGATCATTCCACGCTCAAATGCAATTATAATGGACACAAAGTTGCCTGTCAGTGGTTCTCTAATAGTGCCTGTGCTCACATTTATAAATTTCTGCTCTATTGCTACTTGAATTGGCATCAGTTGGTCAGTTTGTGGATCTCTGACAAATGTGCTGCTGCCATCAATCAGTCCATGTTCAATTGCTTGAGCAAGATTTAACTGGTCGCCAGTAGTTATGTCTGTAAACTGTCCAGAAGCTGGATTAAAAAGCTTCATCTTTATTGCTTCTTGTAGAGTAAGTGGCTTCTTGGCACTCACAATCAAGCCTTCTCCCACTGCATCATAAAAGTTGAGTTCCTCCTTACTTACTGGTACCACGTAACATCCTCGGTAAGGATTGATTATCTTGGCATGGATGGCTTCTGGAAGTTTCATGTATTTTCCTGTATTTCTATTTTTAATGATTGAGGTTTCATTGTCAATCACTTCCTCCTTTATGGCATCTTCTAGAGACAGCTGTGTACCATTAGATGGATGAACTATTTTTCCAGTTTGAGCACTGTAAAGGCCCATAGTAACAAATTTATACAACCCCAAAGGCTTTTCTATGTCAACAATGAGACCTTTCTCAAGTGCCACATTCAGAGGCAGTTCAATAGATGTGTCTGGTTCTCTAAACTTGCCACTTTGCTGATCTATGATGCCTGCATGTATAGTTTCCTTCAGTGTTTGAAGAGTGCAAGTAGATCTTTCCCAGTAGCAAGGTAAACTAGCATTGATTACAAACTGTCTAACAGCCTCTTGAAGAGTGATCATTTTACCCGTGCTTGGATCAGTGAACTTACCCATTTCTTCATTATAAAGCCCTTGATGTATTGCTTTTTGAACTGAAATGGATATTTTACTCTCCATGATTAGATCAGACTTAAAAGCTGAGACTAAAGTTATCTCCTGTCCATCTGGTTGTGTTAATTTTCCAGTCTCTTGATTTAATAATCCAGCTTCAATAGCATCAATAAGGGTAAGTTGTTTCAAAAATCCAGTTTGAGTATCTCTTAAGTGAGCAGAATCAGGATCAATAAGGTGACTATTGATGGCTTCTTGCAAAGTAAGCCACTGTCCAAGGGAAGGATCCAGGAACTTTCCTGTGGTTTCATCATAAATCCCTTTTCGAATAGCTTCTCGGAGTGCTAGAGGTCTACTGATTTCAATCAAAAGACCATGGTCTAAAGCTTCTTGGAAGTTGACTTTCTTGCCTGCCTTATTCAAAGTGATTTTCCCTTCTTTGACATCTACAACTCCATCCAACATAGCTTGACTGAATGTTAAGATGTTCCCTGATATCCCATCTTGAACGAGGGTAGAAGTAGGATCAATTAAACCACTAACAACAGCTTTGTCTACTGTCAATTTTTCCAGTGATTCTGGACTTGCAAATTTACCAGTTTTTGGATCATAAAATCCTTTATAAATGGCCTCAGGTAGTGAGAACCCTCTCTTTGCTGGAATTATGAGACCCCTGTCTAGGGCATCATAAAAGTGCATATTGGAGCCTAAACTTGGATCAGTAACAATTCCAGAAACAGGATCAATGATACCAATCTTAATTGCTTCTATAAGAGTTAACATGTCATTTGATCGTGGATCTTTTACTGTTAAAGCTTTCTGCTCAATCCATCCACGTGTTACAGCTTCTTCTAAAGATATTTTTTCACCTTTATCTGGATCAATCATTAAACCTGTTTCTGTATCATACATACGATTTTCAAGAGCCTCCTGAAGAGTCCATGGAAACCTTGTAGTTATCAAGAAACCATTCAAAACAGCAACATCTAATGTCATTATATTCGGATATGTAAGTGTTCCTCTCTGTCCATCTACTATGCCAGTTGTGATAGCTTCTTTAAGAGGGATGAGAATCTGAAATCTGGCATCCTTCACCTGAGCAGATTCAACATCAATGAAACCATTATGAATGGCTTCATCTAATGTAAAATCATCACCAGTGACTGGATCTTCAAACCTTCCTGTGTCCGGTTTGTAAAATTCTTGATTAATGGCATCAATCAGTGAAACCTGGATTCTGTTACTAATGATTAAACCATTGGTAACTGCTACATCTAATGTGAGGAAGGTGTTCTTAGCTGTGTCTTTCATTTTACCTGATTTGGGTACAATGATGTTTGTTTGTAGAGCTTCATCTAAGGACACATAGTTTTCATTTTTTGTGTCTCGTACTTTAGTAATAAATGCATCTACCAGGTTTTTCTTAACAGCTTCATATATGTTCATTTGATAATTAGTCACAGGATCCTTTATTGTGCCAGTATTTGGGTTATAAAGTTCTTTCTTGATAATTGCCACCAGGGACACAGGATATCTGAGGACAGTGATATAACCTCTCTTATATGCAGTGTTCAAACTTATCTCTTCTTTTGTTATAAGGTTTATATAGGTGTTATGATGTAGATTTATTAGCCCAATGTTTTCTGCTTCTTTCACAGAAAGCAAGTTTTCCATCTTTGTGTTATATATGACAACAGAGTTCGGATCTATCAGTCTGGTCTCCAAAGCCTTGGATAGTGGAATTTGGTTTCTTGAAATGGGGTGTATTATAGTTACACTTTCAGTGTCAAACAGTTTATTTTCAATGGCTTGCTGAAAGGTCAATGAGGTTAATAATGTGCTAGGTTTTTCATGTTCTGTATAGATGATCCATTCCAATTGTACAGCTTCAAAGAAAGAAATCCTTTGACCAGTCTTAGGATTCACCATCTGACCTGTATTCTTATCAATCAAAACCTTCTTTACAGCATCTAAAAGAGGAACAAACTCTTTTGATCTTAGATCCCTGACCTTAATTTTATAGGGATCAATTACTCCAAGGACCACTAGATCCATAAAAGTAGCTGGTTCACCAGTTTGTGGATTAACAAAACTTTCTGTATTTTGGTCATAATATCCTTCTTGTAAAGCGAAAGTAACTGATAAAGGTGTGGCCAATTCTGGTTTTTGTTCCACTAAAGTAACTTCCGTTTTGCTGCTGATTACAACAATCGCATCTGCTGGAACAGTTGCATCTTTCAATGCGTTTTGAACTAAAGATTTTTCATTGGTACTGGGACTAAAGATATAAGTTGTATCAGGATTAATTAAACCACTATCAACTGCTTCACACAGGGGCAAAGAATGACCTATGAACAATGGTGCTTCAAAGTCCTTACTTAATTCTGTAAATGTTTCTGTAAGGCATATTTCTGATCTGGCTAAATCTGTATCATCTTGAGGAGAAATTCTGTGTGTTTCTGGTGAGGAAAGATCTTCTTTTCTTGGTTTGCTTGGTGTCTTAGTTGAGGGTGGTTTCTCTTCTTTGGGAGAAAACTGTTTAACTTCTCTGCTGGGAAACGATGTACTAGTTTTAGATGAGGCTGAAGATGGTATTTTTTGTAAAGGCAGAGACTCGGATTTAGGTTTCTCTTTTGAGGCCAAACTTTTTAATCCTTCCAGTGTTGTCATTCCACCAATAACTGGTTCACTAATAACAAATACAAGGCCCATTTTTGTTGCTTCAATTGTTGTTATCCTCTTTCTTGTGATAGAGTCAAGGATTTTTCCAGTTTTAATGTCAACTTTTCCCATTTCTATGGCCTCTTTCGTGGTCATAGGCTGCCCAGTAGGTACATCGTAAATCACTGCATCCAGATCTACAAAACCTTCATCCATAAGCTCTTCAAATGTAACTAATTTCTGTGTATTTGGATGATGAAAGAGCTCAGAGTTTTCATCATACAGAACACTAAATACTTGCATAATTGTGTATTTAATCACTTCTTGTGTTGGAAATTCTTCAATAGGATTCAAAAGACCCTCAGAAATAGCTTGAGAAATGGGAAGTGTTTTTCCTGTGAGTGGCTCAGTAAATGTTTGATCTGACAGGCTGAGTAGTCCACGTTCCAGTGACTGGATAAATGTCAATGGTTCTGTTGTCCTCAGTGTCTGAATATTAATTTTGACAATTCCACGACTCTTGGCATCTTCAATTGGAATGATTTCACCTGTCTCAGTATCTTCCACCTGCCTTGGACTTGTCATAATATATCCCGGCTGAAGCTCTATTGTTTGAGATTCCACAACCATACGTAAACTAGTGGTAGCTTGTGTTGGAAGAGTCTTTAAAAAGGATTCCACAGAGATAGACTGTGGTAAAATTGGTTTCATCTGGAGAAGTCCAGTATCCACAGCTTCTTGTACTGGTAGATCCCTTCCTGTTCTAGGATGTTTCATGGTACAGTTTATTGAATTAATTAAACCCTTATCTAAGGCCTCCAGCACTTCAATACTATCTAAAATTGGTGGGATTGGCAGAATCATAATAAGACCTTGCTTTATAGCATCTCTTAGAGGAGTACATTTGTTTGAAATTAAGTGAACAAACTCCTTGGTCTCAGTATCAATAAAGCCATATTGAAGAGCAACAGGGAATGTTAATCCCAGTAAAGGCATGTTATCTATACGAAACATCCTAGCTTTTTCAAAGACTCTGTAATTTTTAATGGCATCCACAAGACTAACTATACTGCTAGTAGTACGAACCTCTAATGTATTTTGATCTATAATACCTTTTTCTATAGCTTCTTCTAAAGTTATAATTCGTTTGGTAACAGGTTCTAAAACTTGAGAAAGTGGATTAATTATCTCACAGAGAAGAGACTCATTCAGTGTTAACAATAGACCAACTTCAGGATGAATTATTTTCTGTTCTGCTGGCAGTACAAGGCCTTGGGAAACTGCCTCTGGTAAGGCTAAGCTTTGACCTACAGGCAAAATCAGTTTACCACTAACTGAATCCAGGATACCATTTTCTAAAGCTTCTAGAATGTTTACAGTTTGACCTTTACAAGGATTGGGAATTGTTCCACTGTTACCATCAATCAACTTAAGTCTAATAGCTTCTGTCAAAGTCATTGGCTTTCCATCTGACCCTTTCCTGTTTCCTACTTCAGTTAAGATGTTTGCTGTGTTACTGTCTAAAATACCCTCTTTAGCTGCCTCTCTGGGAGACATTATTCTTCGACGAACTTTCTGCAATGTTATTCCTTCTTGTGCCCATGCTCTACCAATTGTAACTTCAAACCCTGGTTCAGGATACAACTCTGGAGGAGTTTCAATATGTGAAATGTCAGTAGTTTCTCTGCTTGGAATTTTTAGGGGTTTCTCTGGTTCTGTAGAAAATCTGAATTTCTCTTTACTTATAACTTCACCACATGACTCTTTCTGATCTATAGCCTTTGTAATGGTAACAAACTCTTTAATCTGACCTTCATGAACCTTTGAAAAAGTTTCAGAATCAATTATTCCTCTCTTTAACGCCAATTCCAGAGGTATACATTCTCCAGTTTTAGGATCTTCCAGAGAAATTATTGCTTTTGACTGCATGGTTCCAGTCTGTGGACTGCTTTTAAATGACTTCATTATTTTGGTTTCACTTGTTCCTTGGATAGGAGCTAATTTTATTACACCATCTTTAAATGCCTGCTTAATTGGTACTTTCCTACCTGATGTTTCATCAGTGTAGTCTCCTGTTTGTGTATCTACAACCCCTTTGTTCATTGCCTCATCTAATGGAATGTCTGTACCTGTTTTTGGTTCCCGAACACTGAATAGTTGACCATCAATTTTTTTTAAACTAACTGCTCTGGTTAATTCCATTTTTTCCCCATTAGTACCATCAAGAATAAATACTGATTCTGGTTCAAAATATATATTTGGAGCTATTTCTATATATTCAACAGTAATAACATGAAGTTCTTGTGACTTTGGAAAACCTCCCACTTCTGATAAAATCTCTAAAGAAGTAGATTTATCAAAATCTCCAGCCACCACAGTTAATTGGTCAAACTGGTCACCCATTTTTGTAATATGAATCTCTTTTGTGGTTCTTTCTTCAATAACCTGTCTCCTCTCCTTAAGGAGAACTAACTTTCTCATAATAGCTTCCTTCATGGTGAATTTTTCTTTAGTTTTGTTGTTGATATAATGACCAGTAGAATCCAGAATCCCTTTCTCCACTGATTTGAGCAAGGATATGGCATGTCTCGTTGAGGGTTCCAAAACTGTTGCAGAATTTGGATGAATAACTTGTAACCTAAGGGTTTCTTCAAAAGATACTAATCTATCTGTACCTGGAACCATAAATAGTCCCATTTCTGTGTCAAACATTTTTTGATCAATAGCTTCCTTCAAGAACCATCCATCCGGTGGTAATTCAAATCTTTCAGTTGTTTCTTCAATCACTCTGATTCCAGTTCTCTTCTCTTCAAGTAACAAAGTTGGGGAAAGTACTTTTGGCATGTCTCTTTCAGCTTTTTCTTTAATTGGAGGTGGAGTTTTATCTTTAACTGATGGTTTATCAGCAGGAGACACTTTATATACAGGTTCTTTAGATGGAGATGGTAATTTTCTTGTTGGTTTTTCTTTAGTTGGAGATGGTGTTTTCCTTTTACTGACGCTTTCTGGGAAGGTGATGGCACTTGATCTTTGGCTCCTTTAGATGGTGATGGTAGTTTTCTTTCAGGTTTGTCTTTAGTTGGAGAAGGAGTTTTTACTTTTACTGATGCTTTCTGAGTAGGTGATTGCATTTGATCTTTGGCTTCTTTAGCTGGTGATGGTATTTTTCTTTCAGGCTTTTCTTTAGTTGGAGAAGGAGTTTTTACTTTAACTGGTGCTTTCTCAGTAGGAAATAGCACTTTCTCTTCAGGCTCTTTAGGTTGAGCTGATAATTCTATTTCTTCTTCTCCAGTTAAGAAAGGTGTTTTTTCTATACAAGATGGTACCTTTTCTTCAGGTTCTTTAATTGGAGAAGGTGTTTTTTCTTTAACT